TAAAAGTATATAAAGGTCTAAGAAACTATAGCATATTCTTACAGGATGTTTGAAACGCCTCTGTCTAATGGTCTGTTGGAAAATCTGTAAGGTTATCAGTGCTGCTACTGTGTCTCTTAATGTTGATCTAGACTAGAATTTACCTGTTTTCTCTGGCTTAGGCTGCAGCCCCATCAGACTGGCTAAGATACTGTAAGCTTGTGTGGAAAATAAACCAATGAATAAATAAATGAATAAAAACTCTGCTCATATATGTAGATATGTTGCTTGATCTTTATTTATATCATTCTTTATCACAGACAGGGGGGATCTCTAAAGCCAAGAAACCATGCACCAGAAGAAAAGACACTTTGAAAGGTGGAGTTTAAGAAAAATCAGTTAAAATTTAGATGAATGGAAAGCATCAAAAATTCCTCAGAATAGAAGCTGCTATCAGAAGCTCCAAAGGTTGGGAAAACTCCAGATGGCTTCTTTTGTTGGAAGAGATTTAGGACTTGACCATTTTCAGAAATTCTAGAAAAAATGAAACATAAAATTAACAAATAAAGATTTACCTTTAAATTTGCATTACATGTGATACAAGGCCATGTTTTTTTCTTTGAAATCTAGTTACCATATTTAAAGAATCATCTTGAATTTAATAATAATTGCTCTAACAGCTGTTAACCTAATCCAGGTCAGTGACATAAAACAATAAACTATTGTCAAAATTTAACTAATTATGTCTAAACTTGTCTTACACACCTGATACCTTAATTTTGTTTGCAATAGTTGACATTTTGTTTGAAACACTTTCTTCACATGTAGATGCATAGTTATGAGAATTTGTATGTAAATTTCAATGAAACTTAAACCGCAAAGCTTAAAGGGTTTGTAAAGAATAGTTCATAGGTTTAACAATATTCCCAAGAATAAAAAAAAAGAAAATGTTTGGTTTAGTATGTATTCGTACCCCATAATAAACAGCTACTGTTTATTTGTAAAACAACTTTTAGACACAACCATTAAAGTTATTAAAGTTCTTATAGTACTGCACAAAAATCTAAAAGCAAATATCAAAAGCAAAAAAACATATTTGAAAAGCCTGTTTAAATAAGAAAGTTTTAATTGCTTTCTAAAGGATAAATTAGTAAAAGAAGTAGGTGAATTATTTGGCTTCTGGCTGTTCTGGACTCTTTGTTTGCATGCTAGTTTGCATGTGAATCCTTAAATCTGAAAAAGGGGTCATGCAACCAAAGGTGGATAAAGTACAGAAAAACTGTACCCAAGAAAGAATAGCAGCACCGCATCATATTTTTACTCACGTAGAAGAAAAAACTAGCCAACAAATTACTCAAGTAAGAGTAAAAACGTAAATGGGAAAAAGGCCACTCAAATACTGATTAACTGATCCTAAGATCATCTGATAAAATGTTTTAAAAATGATGTAAATTTACAAAACATGAAGTTATCTGCAAATTTTGAAAATAAGCTAAAATAAATTACGTTCAGTAGTTAAACAATAATATCAAGTGGAGGAAACACGAGATATTTTGCTATAAAATCTCTGATTTCATTATAAAATGAAAGAGATAATTAGGAACAGATAGAGAGCTTACATGTGAGTCAAAGGCCTGAACATTGAATATTACACCAAAGTTTTTATAGTGAATGTTTATGAGTTGGACAAAGAAATAACTAAGAGCATGATTTACTTTTGTATGTATGTTATAAGATCTAGGGTTAAAGTGCCACTCTTACTGGTGTTTAAACACATTATTGCTGGAAAGCTAAACAGTGATCTTAAGTAAACAAAATAAAAAAATGATAGACAGCTTATCCAGCTAATAAGGCTTTAAAGATTTATGCAGTTGAATATCATCTGCAAGGGGGAGTGGCAGCCTAGTGGTTAGGGCATTGCGCTTGGAATCTGAGTTCTGAGTTCAAGACCCACTCCCACGGACTGCCACTCTGGCTCCCTGAGCAAGACCCTTAACTCCACACTGCTCACTGGGCCCCTCACAATGGCAGCCCACTAAATGATACCCCACATAAAACAGCAGCAGCAGCAAAAAAAAAAAAACATTCAAAGATCAGATGATGACAGTTCAATGGGTTCTGTAAAAAGCAATTCAACACAGGCTCAGAACCCATCCCTGTGGAACCCTCCGGTAACAGATACAGCATTAGAAGTGAACTAGGGAATCAATACTTGTACCCTAAAATCTCTTCTACATGTCAACATTTTTCACTTGTGTTGGACTTAAGCCTGGAAAAGTGTGTAGAACCCAACCACATCAAAACATCATCTCTAGTAAGTCTTTTGTGCTTCAAGGTCTTCACGTTACAATTAATCACTGTTGTTCTTTAACATAACTCTGATGGCTTCACTAAACAGCAGATAATAAATTATACACAAATGGGTGCTATTCATAAATTTAGATAACATATATAGATACATATATTAGTTTTTTCAAGGTCCACTGTGGAAGAATTTCTCCAACTAAACCAACTCCTAAAATAATAGGAAAACTGATACTGACCATCTTCGGAAATTTTGCCATCGCCGTCTTCATCACCTGAGAAAAATTTCTTGACTTCTGCTTCAGTTAGAGCCCGCGCTTCAGGGTCGAACCATTTTAAGAAGTTCCTGCAAACAAACACAACTTAAAAAAAACCCAACACATCTCTAAGCCTTCAACACATCGGATAAATGTCATTACAAAATATAATCAAAGCTCTTTCTCTATAATTGATTAGGATACAGTGGAGCCTAATTATATGGGTAACTGTCAAACCGCATCTTTACTTTCAGTCTTTTAGCAAGATTACTGCTCTAAAAATAATACAGTTTAGTAAAAGCTGCAACACTAAAATATGTTGTTAAACAGTAATGTAGTAGGACTCGGACTTTTTGAATTTTTTGAAAGTTTATTTTTATTCAGAAGGTAAAAAGGGAAATATATTGTTTTCTGTTTTTTTAGGGGGAGTTTGCTCCTGCGTTTTGACTATTTACATCATTTACTATCTGTGACTTCCGCATTTTGTTTGTATTTGTGTTTGTGGCTGCTGCACTTTTTGTTTACATTTGCTTTTATGGCTGTTGATTTTTGCTGCTATTTTTGTGATTGCAGTATTTTTTGTTTGCAGCATTTTTCTGTTGCATGTAGATTTTTTCTGTTTTCGAGTTTGCCCTTATGTTTTCACCTGTTAGAAACTCGTTTCTTTTTAGTTTGCAGCATTTTCCTTTTGCATTTTTTTTTGCTGCTAGAGCATTTTGGAGTTTCCATCACAAATTATTTTTGCCGGTGTATTCATCGTTTACAGTGCATTAGCACCTTTCAGCCACCGTACGTTTTACTGCATTACTACATTCTCAATGTCAGGCTTGCCAGCTTACTTCATCAGTGACATCGACAAAATAGAAGGTGTTGCTATTGAGTGTTTTTGCCTTAATGGATATTTACAACAGAGGCAAATCATCAGAAAGTGCAGAATACTGGGAGGAGGACATGCAAAAGTAACTGCTTAACTCACCCTGAAACAGATCATTCATGCATTTTAGGGTCTATATTTAGAAATTTTAAAAATCAGGTGCATATTTCTGTAAATTTGTCAGAGCTTATTTTAAGAGGAATGAGGCATTGCGACAATGACAAACAATGCAGAGAGATCAATGCTTATTTAAACATACATGGACTCTCAGAAACAGCAATTGTAGAGACATATCATCTACATGCAGCTATGCCACCTGGAGCTGCAGGATTATACATCCAGCTCATCATTGCTTATGGCACAAAACCATTATGTCTGGATGGTCTGGATGTTGGGAGCTGGAGAAGTTCCACCTCTCTCCAGCAGAGTCCGCCATGGATCCTCCTGAGCTGAGCCTTCGACACACCTGAGGCGCATCTCGTCATCAGAGGATCCACAGTATATAAGCTGTCTTCAGACCTTGCCTCGACGCCGCAGTGTTAAATCCAGTTGGTTAGCACCTAAGCCTAGCATCTTCTGAGAACCTTTGTTGACATTGAATCCAGATTGGATTCTAACCCTTTGTCTCTGCTTTCAGGAAACCTGTCTTTCTCCTGTGAAGCTCTGGAAGAGCTTAACCTGCCGAGCCTGCCCTCTGAGCCAAATCTGAAGACTCTTCTCTGGATTCCCATGCAGCTCAGGACTAAGAGCTGGAAAATCAGAACCAAGGTCTGCCTTCACGTTAGAAGTAAGACGCTGAAGCAGTTATCGGACTCTGCTGAATGAAACAATCTCTGGATCTCAACAGTTCCTCCCTCAAGGCTTTATCAGGTCTCCTAAAGGTACAAACCAGAAAACATTAAACTCAAACTCAACTGATCCAACGCTAACAGAACTGTCTCCCACACAGACTCCAGTGAACCTGCCCCCCCAGGCCTGAACCAGTACCTGTGTTATTTCCATGTGCTTGTGAACAATAAACCTGTTAAAGTTTTACTCTGTCTCCGTGGTGTTCTGCATCTTGGGCCTCTCAGTAACCCATCATGACACTGGAAGAGAGCTCCTTTACAGCCCAGAAAATGTGACACAGATAATCGTTTTCTGCTGCAACTCACACCGCATATGGGTGGAAAAGACGAAGGACAAATAAATTCAGCTGGACTGAACAAGCTACTGTTGTTAATTGATACTTGCCACAGTCACATTCAAGTGTAAAGGCAATCTCTACAGTCACTAGTCTTTCAGCTCTGTGCTGCTGTAGTGCAAAGATGTCTGCCTCCACACAGTTGAGATCATTTGTAATTATAAAAAACTATTTCTAGGGCAACACAGGCATAAAGATTGAGGAGTTTAGTTTGGAGATTATAAGTAACACACTAATATATAATATTTTACATTTCTGTCAGTAAATCCCTGAAATTATTATATGCTGGACCTTTAAACAATACTGCAACTTGAGAATCATAAGTGTTAAGCATCTTGGTTAAGTGGCATTTTGAGGAGCTGAGAAATATTTTTACGTACTTGAGCTCAGATTCATCAAGGTAGTGACTATTGTCACCATCAAGGATCCTGAACACCTCTCGCACCTTCTCTGGAGGCATTGTGGACAAGCCACATATCTTGAAGAACTCCTTATGCTTGAATGAGCCCACAGCTTCTCAAACAGACACACAGATACATAGAAACATCATAAACACACGCAAAGCAAGGTAGAGACAGCCCAATGACCCTGAGAGTCACCTAGCTGGGGGCTGTTGGTGAGATTATACCAGTGTGTGGCTGTTTTTCTTTTAATTTTATAGCTGACCGCCACATGCACTGTGCAAAACAAGCAAACTAAAGCTTTTTAGATTCTAAAATTAAGCCAAGATCAGCTTTTAGCAGGGAGGATAGAGTGGAAAATAATGCTGCTGTTATAACAGGGTTATACATTGATATGATGGAAATGATCTGCTGAACACTACATTAAATTTATTATAGCATAAATCTGATCTGGTAGGGAAAACTGCTTTGAATTAGTAAATTATTGATCAGCATTTAAGTCTAAATTTAACAAACTGTTGTTTTTCTAGAGTAAGATACCTTCAAAGGTGTCGACTGCCTTCTTCATGTCCTCAGGTTTAAGAATCTTGGTGAGTGACATGATGATCCTGTAATGTAAAACAGACAGATTGTACTTTATGAACAGGACAACACAATCTCTGGCTCTGAAAGACACAGGAATATCATCATTATTATTATTTTTTTTTCTGACTCATGCTTTAGGTGTTTCCTTTAGATCCATTTTGGTGTCACAATGGATTAACCTCTCAGTTGTATCTAGGTTAATATCATGATCCCATAAAAACTCTTGTCATGTCTGTTTAAAAAATTAACATAAATACAAATATATGTATTTTAAATAGAAATAGCAGATATTTTATATTCATAGTTAATCTGCTTTAACTCTGTTTGATTTCATGGTAACTTTTGTGTTTTTGAAACAGATTCTCTGCAGCAGCTTATTCAAAGGTGTAATGTCTGTACAGGATGTTCCTGGTTTTGATGGTGCAAATAAGTTACAAGTATCACACAAAAAAAACAACAAAAAACTGTGTCAGTCAGCGATGCACCTTAAAATGATGAAACTGATTTCTCTGAGTTTTAACCCTGCAATGAATTTCCTAAGATTTCATGAATCCATCCTGCTTATAAAGACGATATATTGTAATAAATGTTCAATGAGGATACCAAGTTTTCCTAGTATTTTAAACCTGAATGCAAAAAATAAATGTCATTTTTAGAGTGCCCTACACTGAATCAGCAGCTTAATGACAACAAAACAGACTATGAAGCATCATTACAGTTCTATCATTGTTTATGTAGTCATAATCACCTAACTTTTCTTGTCTCTCATTTATTATAATTTAAGTTTTTGTGTATTTCTCTGTAGAATGAAAGATAAATTTAAATAAAGTTTTAACATGCGCTGAAGTTCAGCTAAAGTTCATAATATCTGAAGCATTTTTGCACCTAACCGGTTTCCTGTACCGAGGTTTGCAGCTGTGGGACTCCCCACTGGCAGCTCTTTTAAGTCCAGCTCCAACACAGCAGCAACAGCAGCATTAAAAGTCTGATAGCTGCTGACAGGTTTCTCATATATTCTACTCACAATGTTCAGATGGATGCCTGAGTTTCTGATGCGTCTGTAGATCAAATTCTCCTGCAAGCACAACAGACTGCTTCTCGTATTCCCCGTTGTCTCACCTGTCTTATTAACCTTTCCTGTTTATATACACTAAGCAGCCCTGCCTCTACCCTTCCACTCCTTAAATTCTACTGGATAGGTTTTATCCAATCAACTTTTTTGTGCTTTGCTTATTTCTCCTCCCTTTCTGCCTATCCAGCCTCCATCTCTGCAGCTCAATCTGAAAACCCCAGATTATTTCCTAAAGGTGGAGAATGGAAGCTAATATATTGTAAAGGTTTAAAACTACCTGTGTTAATCTTACTTGTTGGGTTACATTGATGTTTTTTAAATAAACTAAAACTGAATTAAATAATATTATCTGTTAAATATTTGTTTATTTAGCAACCACTGTGACAAACGTGACATGTTTTTACAACATTACAACATTGATTTAGAATTGTAGGGATTTCAACTATTCTTGAAAAGACTATTAAACGTCTAAATACAAATGCCTTCAAATTCAGCTTTTTGCTCCCAGCTCACCCATAGTGATAGTTGAAGTTATCACAGGCTGTTTAAAAAGTGGAAATCTATGGAGAAATAGGAAATGTGTTTTATAGGGTTGTTCAAATGGAAAATTGTGGGTAAAGTCAGACAGAAATGGTTCAGAAAAAAATGTAAACTTTCTTTCATGATCAAATCCCCAGAACTAAATCCCATAGAAAACCTGTGATAAGCTTCTTATAGGAAATGATTCAGGACCTTGGACAATCTAAAGAGGAAAGACAAATCTTTAACCATGTGACCAGCTGTCCCACCAGCAGAGGGCAAAGTTTACAGGTATGGGTGACGAATTAACCATCTCATTCAGACTGAAAGGTTTTATTTATTTATTTTGAATTTTTACAGCACTAATGTCTCTTTCTTTGACAGTAGGCTGACAGGAAAAGGGGTATGAGAGAGGGGGAGAGACATGCGGCAAAAGACCACGGGTCAGATTCAAACCCGGGTCAGCCACATCAAGGTCTAAAGCCTCCGTTCATGGGTCATGCACGATAACCACTGCGCCACCTGCATGTCCCAAAGGGTTTTATTTATTATTACTTTGCACATCCAAACCAGGCTGAGGTCTACAGACACGCTAACCTTTGCTTTTCCACATCTCTCCTGGCCAGCAGATTAGGCTGCCTCTACCTCTACATCCTGGGTTCACAGGTAACATATCTGCTTTACCCTGAGGATAACTAAGACATTATCTATGGTGTCATGCAAGATGATAACAGTTATGTTTAACCATTTAAAGGTCTCTCTATTAAAGGTTTTTAAGACCCTGGAACCCAATTACCCAATTAGCCTCTAAGTGCTAACCTATCTCTACTGTGCTCTATAGTTTGACCAGTTTTACATTAAATCTTTTTTCTGACCCTTAGTGAGCATCTACATGGAAGGCCCTCTCAATTTCTCATAGGTTGCTGCAATAGGGCTCTAATAAAGTATGGGAATAATAGATAAAGCAATCAATGCTCTGATACTACAGTAGGTAAAGTAGGTTCTGCATATACATAAATGGTTTAAAGAAAAAAAAACTGACACAGAGCTTCAGATAGAGCAACATTTAAAATATACAGTACATCTTGTGCATTCACAATTTAAAAGATAAATTCTATGAAGAATGACAATGTATTTTCTTATTTAGTGGGGGGAAATTAAGTATGAAGCCTGATCTCACTGCAAATATTAACTTCTGTGTATTTGCCCCTGATTTAAGAAGCAACTAAGACCATTTGTCATTGGAATTAAATTGATTTAAATTGCAAATAAGAAAAAAGATCTTGGGGGCATTTTTAGGGCAAACAATATCTTATTTTAATTGCATGATAACTAATTATCTAATTTTTAAGGGAAAAATACTAATTCCATTGTCAAATTCTCTCATTCACTTGCAGAAATAGGTTAATTTCAAGGATTTTAAAACTTATTTTCAGATCAGTTTTTGAAGTTTATGCAGTTGCCTAAGATGTTTTGAACATAAGAGGTTTCCATCTTTACATACTGATGATTTTGTCGCCTACCAGGGAAACCTTGTCGAACCATCTGACACTTGTGGCGACAGTCAGCAATAATGGTCGCAGCAGGGGAGGAAAGAAACTGCTTTTTTTATTGGAGCCAGGGGAATAAATCCTTCCTTTTCTCCAACATTTATTTGTTGTTAAGCTCTAAATATATTTAAATATCTTCATACATCTCATGGATAATACTTCATGGTTCCAGATACTCAGAAAATAACTAAATTTAAAATATTTAGTGCCTCCTTCTTATATTGTTGAAAAAGAACAAAACTAAGAACAAGTCGGTTCTTAGTTTTGTGGTTGTGGTTTACTAGCACCGCCTTGTGGTTGTTTCTATTAACTGTTTTATATTTTTCCTGATGTAGAATTAGTTAGACATTAGGCAATGTGGTGACAGTTCATTCCCTGTACTAAAGGGCATGCAATTAAACTATCTATAGCAGATGTGGATAATTCCTCACTTTATTCACCCTCTATAGCTGAAAGAGATTATCTATCAGTCTCTAAAGAGTTCTTGGTTCACCAAGACATTTACAATGTTTTCAGTTCAATTCAACCTGGACAGATTTACAGAGACACATTGCAATTAGAATAGTTTATTGACATGGTTAATATATAAGTTCCTTGGCGCTCAGACACCGACTGAAGACTACGTGTTCAGAACTGATGGATGATCAGATCAATGGATTTATGAGAGAGAGAATTAGTCTTCCCCCAGGAGTTTGGACTCATGGTGGAATAAGCCAAGAATGAATGGGAGGAGAAGGAGTGGAGGGGGGTACACAGGTGGTTTGTGAGCAGGTGGAACATAAGGAATGACGCTTGAAGAAGGAGACCTTGTAAGTCAATTGGCTCCTGGAAGGGTGCGGTCCCGATGATGATTGGCTGAGGTTTGGAGGTGATCCAGGTGAGGCTGATCAAGGTCTGCCAGATTGAATTTATGCTTAAGATTCGTTTTTGTATTTATTACATCATTAAAATCGATATAAAACCTAATCCTAATGGTCCTAATGGCTTTTTATACCCCTTCAGGTCTCTTTCTGTTAGCGATACGGACCAATAACATTTTTTAAAGCACTGGTTTTGATATAAAAAGCCAAAATGAGATCCTTTATTTTAGTTAATTCAGATTAAACAATCTTACATATTAAAGACTGACATGCAATGGTAATGTTTGAAATAACAGCAGTAAAAACTGTCCTAATAATAATAAAACACATTATATTTTATGCAAAATATACACATTTAGTTTAAATCATTAGTCGACTGGATTTTGAATTAATTTTCAGTTAATCAGAATATGCATTTCAATGAGGCTCAATAGTCAGGATGAAATTACCTTTTTAAAATAAAACTAAAGTAGGTATAAAAACATAAGCCCATCTTAGCTCATGTTCTTATATTAATAATTTTTTCCTATTGGTCTGAAGTGATATTCTAAGTTTATATCTGTGTTCCTATCAGCTGTAAACTGAAATGATTAGAATGAACAGAATATAGGCTCAAAAATTTGATTTAGCTAATAAGCTATACTTATTGAGATGAGTTATATAAATGTTTTTACTCTTAATTTCGTTTTAATTAGTTCAGTAGGACTTTATTTAGCAAACATCAGCTGCTTTGTAAAAAATAACTTTAAACATTCCAAAGAAATAAAATAGATACATAGTATACACCCCAAAATACTTTGCGTGTGGTAAATCAACAACGTTGCCTCTATGGAATGGACTGAAATTAAAAACCTAAAGACAGTGAAAAAGTCATAAGGGACTCGAAACCAGCTAACTTTTAAGATTTCCGTTAGAACTAGATTCAACTTTCAATGATTAAATAGTTTTTTATATGCCAGATACTGTAGTGATATTTTTATTCATTGATTACACACTACTTCTTTTGGAAGCTGTAGGATTTTGGCAAAGTGTCTGGCATTAGCATTCTTAGAAACAATTATGAGTACAATTTTTGTATGCCTATTAGATTTCCTTAACTCTTCTTATATTGGCTGGTTGAAATCCCAGAGGCTTTTTGTCCCATATAACATCAGTGGTTAACTGCGACCTGGTAAAATGTATGACTTTTCAAAGCCTTATTTAAAGTTTTGGCAACATTTTAGCTTTCACTAGTTAGATAAATGATTTGAGCAATGCTCAATTATTATTGGTCCAAAGCCTGCTTTCTTTTCTAAGGTTCAAAATATTTTCCAGCATGAATCGTTCCTAGACAGGCTTTGTCTTCCAGCATGAAGATCCTGGGTTTAAGGGTCCTGCCTGTGTTCTTTCTGCATGAAGTTTGCATTTATTCCTGTGCATGGCCAAGAATAAATTGCCGTATGGTATAAGTGTGTTTGTGCATTGTCTTCTGTTCTGTTTCTCACAAACAAACAGCAAACAGTCCAGGCCGCACTTCACCTTCCACTAAATTAAATGGCTGGTAATAGGCATCAGGCCACCTGCAACTTTGCAGGTATAGTGAATGGATGGGTGGAGTGTGGTGCAGCCTGTCTTTCACTACCATCAGCCATTCATTTCCTTCAACTTATCATTAGAAAATCAAATTCAGACCATTGTTATTGAAAAAGAACCTTTACTGTTGTCTCATTGTCCGTCCGTTTTCCATAAAAGTGCATCATTGTTGATTTCACAGCATGCAAAACTCACACAGTAAAATGACAACAGAAGTAAGAGAGAGAGAGAGAAAGACACAAGTCAGCCACGCCATACATTTAGTCAGGTACATTCATTGGGGATATCACTAGGGTGAGCACGGCCTGAGAGAGGGAGAGAGAGAGAGAGAGTTGTCCGAATGGTCAGGGTCAAAAGTCAAACGTATAAAAGTGTTACAGAGTCTACAAGGGATGAGTGAATGGGAAGAGGAGAAGAAGAGAAGAAAAGGATGTCTTTGGCTCAAGTTGTTCCTTTAGAGTTGTGAAGTCAGGTGTTGGACAGTTTACCCCTTGATCATGGCAGCAAACTCTGCATGGAGGAGAAAAAAATCCTGATTATTTTACATTCTTTACAAATCAGTTGTCATAATTAGATCTAAAGAAAAAAAAAAGTAAATACCATCA